AAAAAAAAAAAAGTACAATCTTAGAGAAGCAAATGCTTTATTCATTCTGGTTTTCTCTCTTTTGCCTCTTGTTAAACCGTGTGTCACCACTGGCTGTGGGGCTTGAAGACACTGAGAAGCCACCCCGGGTCCCACCTTCTTCAGCACAAAGCCCCCGTCCTCCGGGGAACCTCCCCCAGAGCCCCTCTCTTCCACCTGGGGCTCTGCCCTCCTCGCTCGATTGCCAGGAGGGACGTGCTCACAAGTTCCTGAAACTATCCCTTTCCTGTCACCCAGACACCTGTCAGGCCTGTGTCCCCAGTGGCGGCCCAAAGTTTTACATGCTTTCGGAGAAAGGACTTCCCGATTCTCAGGATCGAGGCAACTCTGTGCACAAACCAGGCACAATTTCTGTTCCCCCCTTTGCTTATTTAGCCCCAAAGCAAAGCACAGAAGAGGTAGCTTCAGTGCCCCACGGGGGGTAAATCTAGGGTGACTTTGTGCCAGAACCCGTGACCTTCGTCAGCGAAGGCTGGCCACCCGGGAGTGAGGGCGTGACCTTGCTAAACCGCAGATTCTGGGCCAGTGAGTCTGGGGCAGGGCCCGAGACCCTGCATTTGTGGCAAGTTCCCAAATGATGCCCAGGCTTCTGGTCCACGCAGCAAACTGAGTAGCAAAGCGCTTCAAAAAATATACAGAATCTGGGAGCGTCTGGCTGGCTCAGTCAGGGGAGCATGTGACTCTGGACCTTAGGTTGGTGGGTTCGAGCCCCGCGTTGCGGGTAGAGAGGCCTTCAAAACAAAATCCTTCCAAATACACACACGGACTTGGGGTTTCGCAGAGAAGCGGCAAATGCGTTGCTAAGATGATTGCCTCAAGGTCCCCACCGGATAAGAAGGAAGTCAGGGCAGCCGACGCGGGGACAAGGACACAGCCACGGAAAGATGGGGAGGAGGTGGTCAGAAAGGAGGTCGTGGCCCAAAGGGGCACAGACAGGGGCCGAGACAGGACAGGAAGGCCGGTGGCGTGGGGGCCGCCAGGAGGCCGGAGGCCTCTGTCCAGGGTCAGCAGAGACTCTGCATCCGGCGCCCAGAGGATCACGGCCCGGGATCTCCCGCACGGACCAGTCCTCTCTCCTCCTGCCTCCCGTATCGTTCGAGAAATAGCGATTTGCTCCCTCAACAAACGCCCACTGCCTCACCGCTCTCCTGTGGTCTCGGGGCCTTGAGTGCCTTCTCCACCCCGGCGACTCAGCCCAGGCCTTCCTCCCCTCTCCAGACGCTGGCCTGCAGACCCGCATGGACGACTCCCGCATAATACAGTCCCTGGGGCGCCTCAGACATCTCCTGCGCGACGCAGCAAGCGCAGCTCCTGGTCCCCCTCCCAAAACGTGCACCTCGCCCCTTGGTGGAAACGCCGTCTTTCCATTTGTTCAGGCCGAAAACCTCGCAGGGACCCTTGCCTCCTCTTTCCCTCACTTCCCTTACCCAGCCCATCACGAGCCCTGCTGACGGC